AGTTTGTGGGCACTTATATGAAATGTCTGGGTCATATGGGCAGGCCCATACTACACTTAACCCTTATGGGGGCCTGCATGGGCTACACTATATGGAATTTAATTCAAAGGGTCCCATAAGGGTGAAAGGTGGAGAATCTAATATGGGTAACATGTGGATCAGGTATTTGGCACCCATGAGAGAAAGAAAAATGCCTTGTGAAATACAATGCACTTGTAAAACTCTTGCATTTCAGCCCTCCAGCTGTTAAAAAAATATAATGAATAGTGAAATTGATAGGAATAACAACAAAGAACCATTATTTACAATTTATTTTCAAAAATATTGATTGATTTCGTTTTTAATTGCCTTATTAAATGCAAAATATAAGTTTATTTTGTTAATTGTCCGGAACTTCTAATACTACATCCACATATTGTTATTAGTTTGTTATGATTCATCAACTATATATTCGTCAGATCATATGCTGCTTAGTATCAACAACATGCATGTATTTACTGTATTACCTTCCTCATTTTCTAAAATCGGATTCGTACTATCAGGCGTGGAATTTGAGAGTATTAAATCATCTTATTTATTTATTTATTATCACTGGTGGATAAGACAGATATTAAAGGAAAAATATAATCACAAGAACAAAGCTGGGGGAGGGGAACAACAGTGATAGAAAGGAATTCTCATCATACAAGTCAACTGGGCGTAAGTAACTATCGAAGTGACATTAAAGAAACCCACAAAATCATAGTAAAGAATACTGTATTCAAAGTAGGTTTGCTGCGTAGCACCGTGAACAATACACATATGGGTAAATAATAATAACAGAGTGCTCGAATTATATGGTTCAAATCATTCCAGTAATATCACTTCTAATGTATTTCAAAGGTGGAATACAAAGTTATCTTTGCTTTACCCATATTGTTTGTACCTAGTATTTTGTTTGTCACAGAAAAAAATCCTGGCCAGAACACTTTGATTCAAGCACCCTTCAATCAAATACCACCTTCGCTTAATAAAGACCACTTTCCTGTGGTCCCAAATCAACAAATGTCTCTATTATCTTTAATATTCTAATTAAAGACAAATGCTGCTAAGGACCATGAAAACACCGGTCTCAAAAGTGGTCTTTAATTGGAGGGAGACCTGAACTCCGTCAAAATGTTAGGCCATCCAAACGGTATTTACGTATTCATAAAGTCACATCAGAGTTGAATGTGGAAATGTAGCTGAAAATCCCCTTCGTCCGCAAAATGCCGTTTGTCTGAAATTACTTTAAAAGCCCTATTCCCTACAACAATGTCACTATTCTTTATTCAGAAAAAGTGCATTATGAATTATTCTAATTATTATAAACCAGGTCATTTATTGGCATACATTTTAGTTCTACGCTAAAGGAGAAAAAAAAAATGAGAAATAGAGATTTTTCCTCATAGGAGATTACCATTTTTTCGACTTCTTCGTTTACTAGGCAAATTCAGAGGTTGTAAATCACATCCGCTGGCATTCCCCGCCAGCTCCTATTTGTGTATACTAAACAGTCAGGCGTTCAAGGTGGGTAGGGTAACTGTTTGGCGAACCCGTCGCATTCTTCCTTATTGATTTTTTTTTTATCTCGCCCCCCCCCCCAATGCTATGAAGTCTCATGATAAAATAATGGACCTATAGGTCCATGATAAGATATTTTATTTCATCCAACAATTAGTTAAATAAAAACATTAATTTATCCGACTTTACTGAAGTGTTTACGTCACCGATACGATCATGAGCGATAAATAAAATGCGCCATCTCTAATGAGATTAGTTTTTGTACCTCGTGCCTCTCATACTCACTGCGGTCTATATAGTAGGCCTGAGCATACGTTTTGTTTATTGTCAAAATCTCGGTCTGAAATCATTTTTTAACCAGTTTAAAATAATTCCAATAAAATATTATATTTCACAATTGTCAATACTAGTAACGTAAAATACCATCTCGGCCATTTTTATGTCTGATTACAAAACCTTATATCGGGACTATATATCGAGGTAATGCTAGGCCTAGACTAGCAGTGTTGCCGGCGCCTACTTACTATATTTCTTTAACAATAGATTGGACCTATCGAAAAATTAGATATAAAATCAATTCATCCACGTTTATTTTTTGTGTGGAATGTCAGTTATTTCTAACATTATATACTGTCTCTTATACACATCTAGATGTGTATAAGAGACAGGTAATATTGTCTATAATAATAATGAGTCTCTCGTGATTGGTCTACAGACGATTCGTTCCTGGGTGCCAGTATACGCAGCCAAACCGGTCTGTTTACTCATTTTTGATTAAGTTTCCTAGTGAAAATATTTAGCTAGCATTTTTTGCCGGGAATGGGATTTAATTGCTAATTCCATTGAATGTTACTAAAGGTCAATCTACAGATCATATTTCTCGTGCAAATGACATTCACTGGAACAAGGTCGATTTTCATTGACCGTCAGCGAAAGACTGAAGACTAGTTTCCCACGGTCGTGGTGAGACGATTGATTCCTTAGTATTTTCCGAAGAGTGTACTGCATTCTTTAACACACACATGGGCATATTGCACAAGGGACTAAAAGCTTTTAAGGTCTTATACAAAAGTCAGTGCGCTATGGAAGCTTGCCTCACAAATAAGTGTGGCTTTCAACAGCTTAAGCGAATAAGCTAAGATGCTCTCCTATTCTGTTCAAATACATTCAAAGATGACCAATTAGCAAATTAGTTTGTTTTCTATGTCAAGGTTTATTATTATTCGTCATATTTATTTTATTATTAGTATGCCTCGGTTATTTTAAACGCTAAAAAGAATTGATAATACAGGAATTGTCATTAAACTTGAAGACGTTGATGTAACCACATCTGGCGAAGTGATTCCCTGTAGAATATGGTTTGCTGCCACCGACGGATCCGCTGCAACTAGATTGATCTCTGTCGCTTTCCCATCCATCGCCGTTACTTAAGTACGCCTTGAGTTCAAACCAGCCGTTGTCTGTCTTATCACAATTCATGTTGACATCGAGCATCCAGTAGTGATCTCCCCATTGGTTTAAGGAAGTATATCCAACACCATCAGAATCAACTTTTTCACTGGAGCCAGCATTGTTTGTGGTCCAGATGAGGGGTGTGCCATCGGGCGCCTGTCCGTTGTAGCTGCCTTGTCCAGACTCGGTACCATACCAATCGAGGTAATTATCACCAGTTTTCCAAGCATTGTATTTGCTGTTTGTTCCTCCGACGTTATGCGATATTGGCAAGGCACATGCACTGGTTGTGGCAGTGCTTGTGCAACCTGTGCGCTGTGAATGATCAATACCGCCTCGGATGAAAAGATCCTGACCATAAGAAGTTGGCTTATACACGAATATAACTGTGCGTGTTGTCCCAGCTGGGGGAGGAGCGGCGGTTACTGGAGTACCCCCACCGTTATCTCCACCACCGCCGCCGTTATCTCCACCGCCGCCGCCACCACTTGTGTCACCAACACGTGCATTCACATGGATGGCAGCCATGGGGTCTTCTCCGTTGCTGACACTGAAAGATGCATAACCAGAACCGTCAACATTGATAGTTGGTCCACTACAGGTGCCCGAGTTCTTGTCAAAGGAACCAGTGATGACGTTGCAATATTCGCCAGAGGGCATGCCTGTGTACAGGCGCTCGTTGAGACCATAACTGTCAACATTCAACACGTAGAAGGCTTTGTTTCCACGACCAAAAGCAATTTGCTTATTACCGTTGTCCCACCAGTTTGACTGTGGTTGTCCTGCAGCTGCGTTGGCAAACTCAGCCATATTTGTAATCTGTCGCCATCTATGTTCACATACCCAGCCTCCCCCACACGTTCCGTCGGCGTTGATCTGTACAGAGTTGGTGTTACCACTGCCATCAGATGGTGGGCCTTGGTCGGTATTGTGGTTAAAGTAATAGCTACTCATAACCCGCTTTGCACCATATGGATGAGCCATCATAAACGTGGTTGCCATCTTATACAGACGCGACTCCTCATGAGTAATGATGCTTCCTCCTCCGCCATGCCCTCGCTGGTTGTCGTGGTTATCAACAAATACAAGTGCGCTGCCGTCACTAAGCATTCCCCATTCTGATCCAAAGTTACTAAAGTGCTTCATCGGAGTGCTGCCACGGATTCCTTCAGCAATTCGCAAGCAATATTTGAATTCAGTCACACGGCCGAGACCTGTGTATTCTCCTGCTGTTATCGGTTCTCCACCTTGATCAATCACTTCTTGGAACATGAACGCACGGGAGCCAGAGTTGAAGTACTTACCGTTCAGGTTATTGAGGCCGCCATATATGGCCTACAAGAGAAGAAATATAATAACATTACTACTACTACTACTACTACTACTACTACTACTACTACTACTACTACTACTACTACTACCACCACCACCACCACAACCACCACCACCACCACCACCACCAACACTACTACTACTACTACATATTGATCCAATGTGCGATAATAAACATAAGGAATAATAATAAAAATAAAAAATAACAATAATGATAACAAAACAAAAAAACGGTAACAACGAACAACGATAAAATAATACTAATATTGATGATGATGAAGAAGATGATGATAATAATAATACTAGTTACAATAATAATTTTCTGGTTGCTGTTGGCATAGAAAGACGTTAAAAACTTACTCCAACACAAAACAAAAACAGTAACAGCGAACAACGATAAAAGAATAATACTAATATTGATGATGATGAAAAAGATGATGATAATAATAATACTAATTATAATTGTCTCGATGCTGTTGGCATAGAAAGACGATAAAGACTTACTCCAAGATCACCGGGCCACATATGTTTACAGGCGTCAATGCGGAACCCTGCCACACCATAGTCGATCATTTTGTTCAGGTAATCGATGATCTTGCCGCGCACATAATCCTTGCCAAGATCTAGATCAGACAATCCGACCAGGTTACAATTACGCACCTACAAGGTATGAACGGAATAAACATAGATGCAATAACAGAGTCGTTTGAACAGCATGGATCAATACTAAGCCTAATAAAAAAGTGTTTATGCATTAAAGCTTGCCAAATATTCGGCAGTAGGGATTAGTCCGCTGATGAGGAATGCAACGTTCATCACTGTAGGTGGCACCTCCTTGGTGACACTTTACGAGGATCGTCGTTGAGAGACGCATAGAATCGTACCGGCTGCTGACCTCAAGGCAGTGTCTTCCACGAGTATTTTTAACTGATGAAATTATGCCATAATTATGCCAAGTATTTCAAACAATAACTTACCTGGTTAACATCTTGATAACTTTTTATATCACCTCCTGTTGAGCATTTTCCTTGTGGTACGTTGAAATCATATTTGCTGAAGGGCACTTTGGGGAAGTCATAGCCTACATGAGAGACAGAATAGAGAGTATACAGACAGATACATATATAGTTCCATAGGTGATAGTGGCAGTGGTGGCGCCAGGAATTTCCCGATGGGTTGGGGGATGATGAAGGCCAATTTTCTCGATGTAAGCATAAGTGGGCGAGATAGGTGCAGCCCAGAGCTCCTCAGAGGGGTTCCAGGGGGCGAAATTCTCGGCAACATAGGGATGTGAAAGGATCATTTAAATGATTTTAGAGTCTTACATTCTATTGAAAGTCCATACAATTGCTCATTCTTCCTTGGAAGAAGTGCCGCAAGCGGAGGTGGGGAGGATTCCCCCGTCGGGAACAGCTTCCCCTCCTCCAGTCGGGGAGAAAAAACACAATTCGTCGGGGAGAAATGAAATGTGTATGTATTTTCCACATATTAGTAGACATTAAAATCGGTTAAAATAAGCCTCTGAAACCCCTAAAGATTTTGAGCGACAACCGACCACGCCCACATTTAGTTACCCCTTCGGGGACGTCGGACCAACATAAGCACATACTCCAATGGCGGGGCTGCTGAGACAGCTGAAGCCATCTGACATTTTTGGTTAGTTGTCCACCTTCTAACCTACTCTACCTAATGATCAGATTCCATGACAAATAAAATGCTGATACACAGAATCCGGTGCCAGCATCAGTCATTAGTCTTCTGATCAGAATCCCCTAATCAGGTTTTGTGACGTCATCATGACTTTCATGACTATTATTTGTCGCCGAGACTGATACTCATCAGATCATTTAGGTAGAATCGGGTGTCCCTCATGAAAAATCCTGGATCAACCCCTGACGTCAATTTGGCAAAATGGGGAACAGCAACACCACGTGAAGCAATTTTAACCATTAATATCTTCATGTATTTAATTTAATGGAACCATGTTGTTTTCTCTTTTATTGTAGCATAGGCCTAGAGACGAGCTTATCAAAAACACCCGACCCGTTGGCCCATTATTTTTTAATAAAGTAAGTACATTACTCTGTACTGATGCCATAAATAGTCTAAAAATAGCCTAACAAAATGAATTTAATGTGCGTTCAATGCGGTCACCATAGATCTGCTTCAACCTACCGATGGCCGCCATGTGGTTGAAGACAGCATCAGGATAGATTCGAACTCCAGCATTGTTGCATCTATGTACCATATCGGCGAATTCCGATTCACTTCCGCTACGGCTGTTCAGGTCGTAGCTCTGAGGCTGATAGCGTTCCCACCAGGGACGATGAGGCGACCAGACGTTTATGTGGTTGTAAGGTGGAGAGATCTGGACACCACCAAATCCGTTTGGGCCTAGGAAACTTTAATAAAATAAAAGTTTGATTTTTAAAACTTCAAATCGGCTCATTAGTTTTGTTATCGTCATCATTATCATCATCATCACCTTTCATCATCATCATGTTACGCTTATAATAAAAACATACCTATTTAACAACAAATTTTCTTTAAAACGTTTTTGAAATTCTCAATCTCTATGTCCCCAAAAGCTCTACAAAAGTCTTATATCAAAAATCTAAACTTTTGTCTCATCTCTCTGAAACAATGTACTCCTCTGTCAACCCCTACCCCCCCCCCACCCAATAATTTTCGATTCATTAAGCTGAAATCAAAAAGCTATATAATTATATTATTAGTATAATCATCATCATCATCATCATCATCTTATCATCATCATCTTATCATCATCATCATCATCATCATTATTTTTATTATCTTTATTATTATTATTATTATTAGGACTATTATTATTAAGCCTATTATTATTATTATTATATTATTATTATTATTATTATTATTTTTATTATCATTATTAGGCCTATTATTATTATTATTATTATTATTATTAGGCCCATTATTATTAGGTATATTATTATTGACCTATTATTATTATTATTATTATTATTATTATTATTATTATTATTATTATTATTATCATGAGCATTATCGTCTTGGCCAGTGAGCAAAATATGCGTCTTTATACTTACTTTTCACACTCTGAGGCAATATCTGACCACTTCCATTCAAACAGATGAACCATCACTTGTCTGCCATACGCCATGTTGGTGTCCCATTGCGCAGATACTGTGCCAACCAACACGAACAGTAAAAGGACTTTCATTTTCCTGTATTTGCATTACGAAACAATATTGATGTACATTATACATTTTGGGGGAAAAATAAAACTATTTACAAGTACATTGAGACGCAAACTGCTAGGTTTAAATTATGGCCGAGAGGCAAAGTACCAGTCGTCGATAGCGTGTGGCATGGGATTGAAATCAACCGGTAGTTTAGAAGGGTGGCAACAGACATTATGGTGACGGGCATGTGCTGGGTATCAGGGGTTACCACCAGATGCAGAAGAGCCGGGTTAGCATAATCGGTTAACGGCGAACAAGATGGCAACGGAACTAGATGACGATGAACCACGGCTAAATGTCCGGATGGAAACCTACCTGTCGGAAAGCTTCACCAAAACACATAAACATTTATTTAAATTAAATTTCAATTTTAAAATTAAATTAATTAACATAATATAATATAAATAAAACCAGTGGGGAATTCAAGCATCCAAAATAGAGCGGCCCGGAAAGGAATTTTACGGATGGGTCCAAACTACACTGAGCCCGACCGCGATTGGGTCTCTAGAGACGCTTTTGTCTAAGGCGTCTCTAGATGGTCAGAAATAGCGCTTTAAACTCAACTTTAAATTCAATATTTTTACCCCAGTGTTTTTCTATTGTCAAAAGTTTAGGACGAGGATTGGGGTTGGGCCTCCTTGACTCCGCCTGAAATAGATAATTAACATCATCCTTACCTTTCTGATGTCAAATAATATGCAAGAGAGTAATACAAATTATATTTTGAATCTTTCATTTATATACAGTTGGTCTGAGCATATCTTTTAATGTGTTAATAAACAACAAATTTATCCAAGATTGTAAATATAACAGCAAGATAATACAGCAATACTTTAATTAAGTTATTGATAACCGTTCGTGAAGCAGAGATACAATTATTAATGTCGATAGCAAAAGCAAACTGATATATCTGAATTCCCGGGTTCAAAGACGTGGCAGAAATACTGAAATGGATATTGATATAATTATTTACAATAATTAAGTGCATTTTCGACAATTCTTGTAGTTTGTTACGGTTTACATTGATTGATTTTTTTTCATGTTTCGTTTTGTTACTGTTTGTGTGCCGAAATTGACAGGGGCGAATCCAAAAGTTTTTAAACCGGGGGTGGGGCAGGGGGGAGACAAATTTGTGAAGTATCGATTATTTCAATACATAGCATTGATATGCATTGGCATTTCAAATTGTATTACCAAACCGGGGTGTGGGGAGAAGTTGTCCCGTTCCCCTACTGGATCCGCGCATGATCAACTGAAAAATAATGTAGTATAGTATGTAATGTAAAGCGATTTAATGTAAAAAAGGCCTAATTTATTGCAATGTATTGTAATGCAAAATGCAACACAGCACAATACAACGTAACATACCGTAACATAATAAAATAAAATATCGTATAATTAGCTGTTACCTGTGGGTGACCTCTGTTCCTAGCAGTTCGGCTTATGTGTTATGTGGATCACTACCTCTTCTATCGTACGCCATCCTAAACATTTTGATAGCTCGTGCCACTCCATTCTTTGATGTTTCCTGTCCATGCAATTCTTGGTTTTCCAACATTTCTTTCTCATAACCATTTGAGATCCATGTAAGATCCATGTAAGACTATGGTAAAATTTAAGTTGGGGCTCCAATATTTTCCACAACAAATAGGCCTATACTGTAGATAGAATGTGCCCTGCATGGTATTATCGCCTTGCTGTGGTGCCTTTGGATCCGGTTTGTGTACCGTTTCTTCGCCCCCGCTCCATTTTTCGTGCCTAAGTAGGATAACTTCGGCCCATTCAACACTAGTCACTAAGCGCAAGCTCGGTAGTCTAGTGGTTATAGCGCCAGGCTAGTAATCTGAAAGGTTGTGGGTTCGATTCCCACACGAATCACTTGCGAAATTTTTTTCGCAAGTATTTGGAAACGTAATGACTATTCGGCACGATACCAAGTAAGGCAGGGCAAACTCCTGTCATACGTACGCACGACTACATAACGTTTCAACGTTCCTGTAACTTTGTGTGAACGTTATTTTGTGACATATATGGAAGGTAATCTCGGCCAAAAATACAATTTGAAACGTACAACCTACTCACAGAAATAGATTGTTCGGTGTTTAACTTTCACCAAAAGTGGACGATTCTTGATAGGCCTATACGGAGTTCGTTGTCTACTTCTGCGATTACGTTGTACGTTTGTGTTTCGTCTCTTTTTCTTTTTGTGTTTTGTCTTTGTCTAAGTTGTTCGTTAGTGCGAACACTGTACGTTTGTACGAATAGGTTGTATGTTAGTGTGAGTTCGTTGCCTATTTCTCTGAGTACGTTGTATGTTTGTGCGAGTTCGTTGCCTATTTCTCTGAGTATGTTGTATGTTTTTGCGAGTTCGTTGCCTATTTTTCCGAGTACGTTGTATGTTTGTGCGATCACGTTGTCTATTTCTGTGAGTACGTTGTAGGCCTACGTTTCTATTGCATTTCTGGCGGGGATTGCCTTCCATAGACATAACTAACCACAACGTTCGCGAACAATATGTGTTTGCTGGGATAACCGGCCCAAAGATAGATAAATTTATCGGCAAATGTGTGCGCACCTGGCCACGTTCCCATACATGAAACAGATGGTTTCTAACATTCTTTAGTATGTAGTGTTTCCTTATCGATAAGCTCAACAAACTGTAACTCATATCAAGGTTATATAAGAACGGAACTTATGAAATTTGTAATAATAACAATCGAAAGGCTAATAAATATGCGGTTACTATCACCAGCTTACAAATTAACCTGTTACAATTCGAAAAAGGGCTTACGTGACTTTCGTTCGTACTACGTTAACAATTTGCCGCTATAAATAAATTTAAAAAATGCTTGCGGTGGTAACATCTGAACAAAAATTTGTATTCTCATTTCAATAGGAATAATATTTTTATATTCGGGCTCTTTTGAATCCAGTGGTGAATTTAGCTAGGATTACTGATAAAACGGAAGCACCTGTTGGGGCGCGAATGGGAAATAGGAGGGTCCGATGATTCAATGAATATGAGGTTTTTAAACTAAAACTTCAAAAACTAAAATTTCAAATCGGAGAGAGTTGGAGTGTGGGAGGGGAGTTTTCTGAGGGTGGCGGTAGGGTAGGCGCACCTCTACGCCTTTACTATCCCGATGTATGATGTTTGAACAAAAAAACTTAATTAGTTTTAGTAAACACTGGTTCACCAGGTAAGTAACATTAAAGACACACCTCCTGATACATATTTCGATTAGAGTGGAGTGACCGGGTAATTAGGATCGTAATAGAGACCTCCTCTTTAGCATAGGCGGATCCAGACTTTTCAAACAGCAGCGGGCACAAAAGTTTTAAAATAGATAAAGAAAGTAGCACGTAACATTGATTTACATTGAAATTTAAAAAATTTAGTGGCAAAACGTGGGGGGGGGGGGAACGTTTACGTTGCAAATGTAGCCTCGAAAAGAACCCAATCCAAAGGTCGCAAAAAAAAAAGAAGAAAAAAAAAAAAGGTTTTATTACGGTCGTATGCTGATCACTTGTCACTAGGCACTTAGTGGAATAATAGTGGATAATGGATAAGGGAGTTAGGGTAGCTGGGGCAGATGCCTGTCTCTTATACACATCTAGATGTGTATAAGGTGCCGAGGTCCTGTGGACTCTCATGCACCCATGGACGCAGAAAAAGTGGGTAGGGACACGTTTCCGTTACCACATACTTAATGGTGGGAGGGGTGGCACTTTTGGTCTGCAATGCAATATCATAAGTCAAGAAGTTGCCTGAAAAATGTTGAAATACACTGCATAAATGACTCACGTTGTAACAGATGAACGCTGTGCATCCAAAGTACATCTTATTTTATAGCAACATACTGGTATCTCTGCCCACAAACTTCTGAATTAGGCCTACCTATTATAACACACGACTCGAGTGTGGGTGCCTTTATTATAATTTGAGAGGTATGAGGAAAAGCGTGCAAAGATAAGATTGGCTTTCGGCACATGAAGTATAGGTAAAATTAAATACATTAAAGACAATTCAGTTTTATTTTCTATTGGACATCACAACGTTTAATTAGATCGATGATGATGAATTTTACTATGTCATATCTGGCAATCTAGAGAAGTACTATTTCCCCAAAATTTCTCATCTTAACCCACAACAATTATGGTAGGGTTGAGAAGGGTGTGGACTCACGGTTTTGTAGTAGGTAAAGTAAATACATCAAAGACAATGTTAAGTTGTATTTTCTATAGTACAATACATGAACATTTTAATTAGATCTCTATGGTTGCCGAAAATAGCTGATAACAGATTTTGAGAATTTGTTGGCGCTTTATTTTGACTATTAATGGTGATGTGATGATGATTTTGACTATTTAAAAGTGTCATTTCCGCCCATCTAGAGGTACTAATTCCACACGGCTGTGGCTTCACGGCTTTGAGGTAGGTCAGGTAAATTAATACATCAAAGAAAGTGTTTCTATAGTTTTATTTTCTATGGTACATCACTCATATTAATTAGATCTCTGTGGTTGCCGAAATCTCTGATAAAAGATCATGAGAATTTGCTGGCGCTTTATTTGGATCCAGGATGATCTCAATGGGATAGAAATGTAAATGAAATTATGAGTAAAGCTAATAAACGACTGTTCATGCTAAGCAAATTAAAGAAAGCTGGTATCTCTAGGAATGATTTAATTGATGTGTATACAAGTTATGTTCGGCCAGGCGCGGAATATGCTTCTGTAGTATGGCATTCGGGAATTAATGAGGAGCAAAACAAGAAAATTGAGTCCATCTAAAAGAGAGCCATTAGAATTGTCTTGGGTTTTAAAAGATTTGATCATAATTTTGACAATGAAAGATCACTAATAAATTGCAATCTTACTACACTTGAAAATCGTAGATATGGTCTATGTGTTAAAGTTCGCAAATAAATGCTCCAAATATGTAAGGTACAGCCACTGGTTTAAGCCAAACAAATCCACTCACCGTATGCCACTACGTAATCATCGAATGTATAACGAAATCAAGCCCAATTTTGAAAGGTTCAGATCTAATACTGTTCCCTGTATGGTAAAACTTTTAAACAATGATCAAGGCTAACTTGTATTTTTTTTTAAACTTTCCCACTTTTTTACTACCTGTTTTAATCTCCTCGTACCCAAATTTTTAAATTTTTGAAAGAATAATGAAAATTAATATGGCAATTTATAATTGTTGCTGAGATTATTTTAATTTTTTTATTTTGATTTTTTAGCTATCTTTTTTTCTGCTTTTTAAATGTGTTTTATCTGTTTTTTAAACTTTGTGGTGTTGTGTGTTGTTCAATTTTTCTCTTCTGTACTTTTTAATAACAATTTATCTGTATATATTGTAAACCTATCGCAATTCAATATTTTTTAAGCTGAAGTTAATAAAGAAATCTGAATCGGAAATCTAAATCTAGACTATAAAAGTGTCATTTCCGGTTATTTAAAGCTATTTCCTTAAATTTTCTCACCTAAGCCCCAACCATGGTGGGGCTGAGGTGCTTGTGGGCTCACGACTTTGTAGTAGGTAAAGTAAATACATCAACGACAATGTTTCTAAGTTTTATTTTTTATGGCACATCACACATATTAATTAGGTCTCTGTGGTTGCCAAAAATCAATGATAAATGATCATGAGAATTTGTTGGCGTTTTGGTTTGACTATATAATGGTGATGTGATGATGACGTTAAAACGAGGCGAAGTCAAGGGCGGATCCATCGTTTCCCCTTTTGTCACATTTTTAAAATGTCAATATATACAATGCCATGTAACTTATTCAATCAATCTATCAGGAAATAACAACTTACGATCAGTGGCACACACAAAGGTTGGTGCATCCAAATTGACAGTTTTATTAGAATAAAAGGCCTTACATGTACTAAAATAAGAAAAAATAAAATACAAATACAAAATGTTTCAGTACGTCCTATGGTCCCTTCGTTACGCAACTACTGCGCTTCTCTCTTATCTATTCTTAGAAGCTGGTGCCTTCCGTTTGGATTCTGGATCAGCCCCTTGGAATGACGTATTTATTGTAATGGGATCTGAATTAGCCTTAATTATTACATTCTTTCTTTGTACTGTTGTGAAAAGCCTATGTTTCAGAAGAATTTGTCCATGTGTGTTCAGTGTACATTCCAATATCATAAATATAAACTGACTTGTCACCGGCGCTGGAAGATGTTAGAGAGAAGTTGGGCTAGGGTTTGAATAATTTAGTATCAGAGATGATAGGGCAGATTATTCCAGATTTTAGGAGCAGAAAAGGAAAAAGAACGTTCAGTACGTATGACTAGTGGAGTAATAAGTTGGAGAGATTGGGTAGAACGCGTATAACGGTAAAGAACATGTTCATCAATTAGGACGAGGAGACAATGGGGAATAACCATGAATGGATTTTTGAGTGAGAACGACAATGTTAAAAATGAAACGCTTTATATCATCCGGAGGTCAGTGGACTTTTCCGGAGAGTCAAACACAACTACTGACCAATCAGAACAGGGCCAAGAATACGCCAGCACGTGTTGTTTTGTGGGACCTTAGCAACAATATCCAAGGGGCGATGCTTATCGGAAATATCCATTATATTATAGGATATTTTTGTATAAAAATTCTTGTAAATTACTGATTAATTGTTTTTATATAAGAATGCATTTCAATATCTGTATAATAGTTCTGGTATATTTTAGTGAAGGTTCTGTCTGTTTCAATAGAAATATAAATATTCTTAATTAATCGCAAAGATAATGCAAACTGTGACAATGTTGATCTTAATATTCACAGAAAATACAGGGGCGGATCCAGAGTTTCTGACGAAGGGGCGGGGGGCACAATATGAAGTCACGACGCCACGTCCACCTCCGCCCCACCATGGTTTGTGTAAATAGGCCTAAGTGGTAAACAATCGAGCTCTCCTTCCACTGCTGGATCGCCACTGAACTCATTGGTTCATGGGCACGGGCCCTCATCCCCCCACCCCGGCTAGATCCGCGGCTGAAATAATACATAATATCTGTCTGTTAACATGAACATCTAACAGCTCTGGTCACCAAATATTAAATCGTCTTTAAAAATGCAACAGTGGCTTAATTTCGATGAGTCTCTAGCTAATAATACTTATATAATGCTCATGTGCACATTAAAGAACCCAGTACATCTTTCGAGATGAGTAGGGGGGGGGGTTACCCCGGTGTACTGGTTCACTCGGCCCCTGTCGTGGACAGATGAAAGTGTGTCAGTTTACTGGCTGCGGTGGACATGAAGTGACCCTCAGGGGAGGAGAAAGTTATTGAAAAGTGCAACATCTAGTCCCGAGCGCATAGAGACCTCGTTTATCTGCGCTATATAAATCCATCATTACTATATCGATTTTTGCTAAAGCCGGCCTTTGGGTCACGTCAAATTGATATCACTGTCGACCTCTGGTTCCAGAAAATGAAACAAGTCTCCGCAAAAGTTGAAAAAAAAAAGACAAAAAATTCCACATCTAAAGTCGAGCACATACTGCACCGGACGGCAGAATTTTCAATGGAAATCACAACGCATTAAGGTGCACGGGATGTACCGTATTCAGATAGATCTCCCAGGCACACTGCCACGAATAATTTATCGGCAGACAGTGTCAAACAATCAAAAAGATCGGAGATAAACTTACTGGCTTGTCTGCCTACCAACACACAAATTATTTCAAAATAATTCAAGATAAAACAAATTCCTGATCAATATATTTATTCACTTTTCATTATCTACAATATATTCTAAAGTTGAATGTTAGTATATTTTAAGAAGTAAAACACAAGAATTGAAAGGAAATCTTCACATCAATTCCTGCAATAACTAGCATCTTGTTAAACTTCAGCCTATAATAGATAAACACGGAATGTAAATGGAAACTAGCAGTTTTATGGGAATATTTTCCTTACTTCTAAAATAATCAGGAAGTTACGATTCCAGTTGCAGCATACCAATTGGAACTGGTCTGCATTTTATTTACATTGGGCGAATTATGGTTTCAAAAAAAAGTTTTCAAGTAGGATCGTTGAGGGCGCTCTAATTTAATAACGTCTTTTGGGGTTGTAAGTTGTGGAGCAGATGCAGTAGTCTGGGATGGAGACCTCCTTTTCAAGGGTGACTCTCTTATTGTAGAGTGACTTGCCCTTCTTTGTGTACTTAGCAATGTCTTCTTCCCTGTTCTTCGTCTCAAAGCAGTTGAACCCAACCTGAGAGAGGACAGAAAATAGAGAAATTAATAATGGAATAATAATAATAATATTATGAAAAGTATAAATAACAATGGAAAATCTTGGTTAAATTGATGGTTCAACTAGAGCCTGGTTTTCATAAAATTGCTACACGCTATCAACAACAACTGTTGGTGACAATGATTGGTTGGTCTATTAAGTTTTGTACAGCTACACAGTGCAGAGCTTGCAGTGAACACTGTAGTGATTTTATGGGAACCAAGCTAATTAGGACCGCCCCTTTTGACTTGTACATGATTTACAAGACACAAAATGTGACACAAAAAAACAAGCAAACATTTTATACAGACTTTCTGCGATATTCCTAGTAAATCCCCGATTGTCTTAACATGAGTGAGCTTTAGTCTTGGTAAAGTCAGAATTAATAAGACGAACAATGAAGACAAAAAGCAAGACCACAGTGTATCTTGGGAAATTTACATGCCCCTGAGATATCTGTTTTTCTGAAAAGGGAGTAACTGATGCTATGCATTCACATGATTAAAAGCAAGGAACACTTGCTAAACTTCTTCATATGTTATATCTGAAAAATGTTACTGTCTGAGGATATAAACAATTTAGAAAAAAAACCCAAAAAAATGGAAGATTTGCACCCAAGCCACAACAATTGAGTCTCACAAAATTTCCACTATCTAAATTTATTTTTCTATTACTCACAGATTTAGAAACTCTTGTAGTTGTGTCAAGCAAGAAAGCTGGGACACAGTCTTCTGGGCAGGTGAATACAGGCTCGGTGCTTAAGCAGACAGCTTGTTTCTTGCCCATGTAAACTTGGTCTGGGAGTGGGTAGACGTATTTCTTGATGAGGTTGCAAGCTGGAAATAACAATCAAGAACATAAATCAAATAACAGATTACATACATTTTATATATTTAGTAGAGCTATCACTTTGTGGTTGATGTGCCTTCTAATCTAGGGTTCAACAATAAAGTCAGCTTCACATAGTCTTTAGTTTAAAAAACATAATTAGCAGTGGTATATCCATGAATTGCAAGAGGGTTTGTATTCCCCTTAAAAAAAAAAAAAACTCACATCCCCAGTTTCCCAACTCTTTGGAAATGTTAGAAGCAAAAACATCAGTCAAGTAAATAAAAACCCTCTCTTATCCCTTTATTTTACGAGCTAGTTCCCCTCACTTATTCATCGAGCCCCCCACACTTAAACTTCATGCCTGCCCCAATCAGCCCCCTCCCTTTTTAAAACTACTCGATATGTTAATGACAATTAGGCCTAATGGAATAACATTAGTTTGAAACTTTACAGGTTTTCCCATTATAAATATGAAATAAATAAAAAACATTTTTAAATTAAAATGAAATCCATCAAAATGAGAATTAGAACTCACATCCAGCAGTATTGCCGTCACCTGGAACCAACCAGCTCATGGCAAATTTAGTACTGTTTGAAGTTATTTGATTTTCTGGAGTAACATACTCATAAGCAGTTTCGCCGTTGAAGTCACCGCACATACCTTTAAAGAAAAAAAAAACCACTTAATATAAATATAAAATATAACAGCAAATCTTTGTGAACAATTATCTTGGATCATAAAACATAACTAAAAAAAAAAAGCTTTAATAACAATATTTCATCTAATGATACAGTTTTATCTAATAAACAACAATAACCTTTTTTTGTTATTACCGTTTTATAATAAGAAGCGGTGCCAGGTGGTCCAATGTCCCAGACAGAGGAGGGTCATGTCCCCAAAGAGTGTGTGTGGTTTGGCATCGCCCATAATCTTCCACAAAGTGAAGGAGAAAAGGTCCCTGGAAACGATGACAATTTAGGGGCTTCAAAGGGTAATTTTATATTCAATTCAAGTGTCTAATGAAAAGTAAAAAAAAAAACATAATTTTTTTCCCTGAGGAATTGTGTTTTTTCTCCCTGATGGAGAGAAGAAGGGGAAGCTCTACTCAATGGGCCCTGGCCCCCAAGACACCATCTTGATTATAATTCAAGTATTTAATATAGAAAAAACAATTACTAACGTACCACATGTTTGGTTGTAGTACCATGGAGTGAGGACGGTTGTGACATTTTCGGTGTTGAAGATGACAGTCAAACCGATGGGGGTTGTTACGTTCACCTCGGTGCGGCTAACATTGATCCTAAAGGTTGCGAAGGTGAAGTTCTGTGTTAAGTTATAGGAGTTGATCCACAAGTTCTCTCCGTCAACCTGCACAAAGACAGCAAAAAATAGTAACAATTAAAAATAATAAAAATAAAACATGCATCAGTTTTCCATACCAGGATGGTTTAGACAAGTTTTTTTTAGAAATTGTGGCAAAGACAAGCCAAACCAGTCACTCGTCGCAAATTGTGTTTCAGAGAAAATAGCAAAAACATGCTAGAATGTAAAATTTTTTAAAATCTATTTTATTTCACTAAACTAAGGGTTATGTATCTATACATCATGCTCTGCTGTTATTTTTCCCAATTTCAATGTTAAAACAACACTTTTTAATGATTTTATAATAGTTTCTGCATGAGAAATGCCTGAAATCATAAACTTTGAAGGCTGATTTCTCATATATTGTTCCTAATCAGCTCTATGCTTAAATGCTTGTAACTTCATAAGGAAATGTCGGATTTGAATGATTTTTTTACCATTTTATAGCTCTTGTTTTACTCTTTAACCTTGTAGTAATAACTCAAAATCGATTTTTGCGACGAGTGACTGGTTTGGCTTGTCTTTGCCACAATTACGATTTCCCACTATAGTCTCTCCATAGCGAGGTTACACTAAGCGCAGCGCTATCATACTTTAGTACGCCACCTTAACTTGTGTTTTGGAAGCCACCCTATATCCTTCATCAAACTAGGGTTACAGTGGCACCTACCAAACCACACTAGCACGTACCCTATACTTCTTGAATCATCCATAATCTACCCCTCCCCTTAACTACTGTATTGTTGGGTTGGAAAGGTGAGTTTCTGTTAAGATACTGAAACTCCGCACCTGAACTTTGATGTATCCAGTGTGTTTGCAAAAAACATTCACTGCTTTTATACAGATAGTACATGTTACTGATGGATGGCGACACACATAGCGGCTTTTATATATTTCGTGGGCTGCAACAAAATCGATGTCGGGCCGCATGTGGGTCGCCGGCTGCAATTCGTAACAAAATCTCTTACCTCGATCTTAATGGTCTTGTTTAAGTGAGAGTCCAGCAAGATCTGGTGATCACCAACTCGAATGGTCACTACCTTCTTAACGGTGTTGTCAGCCATCGTACGGTTCTGGAGCAGAACGGTGAAGCGTTGCTCTGGCGAGCAATCTCTGGCCAAGATGTGAGGGCAGGTGACAGGCATCCTGTAGCGGTAGTTGACGCCATCGAATGTGGTGAAATTGTTGAAGTTGTTCAGGGTACATGTGGCTGCATAATATTTATTAGAAAGGTTTATTTTAAGATTACAAAAGAAATGCAGGGGCGGTGCTAGCGGGACCAGAAGGGCGAACCCCCCCTAAGTTTCCAGCATGGTCGTTGGAAAAAAATCAACTCTAAAACACCGAAAGTACAATTCAAGCATGCCATACTAAGCTGTCAAATTTTAGAAATTAAAAACTGTTTAGTGTGAGCAGTGTTACAGTATGTGCGAGGTGTTATATACTATTACACCCGTAACTTGCATGGTTTTCTATTAAATTATCCTTTTTAAATAAAGAATCACATAATTAACACAAAATCTTATTATTTTTTAATACAGAAAAAATACACAAAATCTTATTATTTTTTAATACAGAAAAAATTCAAATTCAGATTTAATTGTTTCCCTGACTAGGGAGGGGGGGGGACTTAGGACCCCTCGTTGGGGAATTCCTGGTGCCGCCCCCTGAAGAAATGTCTATTTTCTTAGATACTGGACATACGGTTTAGAGTCCTTCTCCGAGAAGACTTGTTCCAAAACCGGAACCATAGGCAAGCGTGCCGTTTGCACCAACGCCGACATTATGGCTGTATGTCACGGTTCCCCTGTCTTAGAAGCACGGCCAATTGAATCGTTTAACTCATGATCATGATACAAGATGTCATGATACAAGATTGTTTTTATTTAAGTAAAGACTGCAAATCAATAATCATTACACTACAAAAGGATGGAACACTGGTTTTGTCTTTTTAGTCTTTGCAATTTGTCTTTTAATTAGTCCACCCTCTTCATTTTTCTTTATAAATTTTTTTAGAATGTAGAGGCTCTAGCAGTGTGCCCTAT